ATTTTCTAAAATACTGATTAAGATCTAGTGAATAACATGAGAACAGTTGGAATAAGTGAACTATCACAGAAAAGGCACAAAGAGACACTAAATCAGAATTTAGTATAACAGTAGAACTGTGAATCAGCAACAAAAAGATTGTCCCATTCATTATGCTAGAATAATTGCCTAAGTGTCTAGAAATTTTTAACTAGGTCTTCACTTTACAATCTTATCCAAAATATACTCCAGATAAATTAGAGTTAGAAAGTAAATGAATAAACAAATATATAAACTATACAAGAGCCAGGTGAAAAATGTATGTGGATATGCACAAAGCACAAAAGACAGAACTTTGTCAGTAATTGAAGGAAGGAACTCGAAAAGGAAAGATTTGTAGACATCACTACAAAATAAAAAACTTATTTATATCATGAACCATTATAAATAATAGACAACTAAAAGACATATGTGTCAAGCAAAGTATAAATCTATTTAATTTATAAACAGTCAACAAACAAAATAGCAAATAAATACATTTTAAAAAGAGATCATAGACACAAAAGCAGAAATGTAAATGGCGAGTAAACAAATTTTTTTCAACATTGAAATATTAATTTAGTCTATCAGATTTGTGACCATCTGTGTATCTTCCCACTCATCTATCTACATCCAAGATTTATAGGAATGGAGGGAAATTTGTACTTGTATAATCTATTTAGAAAGAGTAATGTGACTCTTTTCTGTCAAAGACTAAATAGTAAATATTTCCAGCATTATGGGCCATATGTGTCTCTGCTACAACTACTAAATTCTGCTGTTGCAGCATAAAAGCAGCCATAGACAAAGGACATGACTGTGTTCCAATAAAACTTTATAACCAGAAACAAGCTGTGAGCCAGATTTGGCCTGTGGGCAATAGTCACATACCCCTAGTTTAGAGGAAAAGTTGCAACAATTTTGTAGAATGATTTGTCCAATACATATTGAAAGCTTTAAAAAATATACTTATTTGACCAAGCAATTCCCTTTTAGGAATGTGTTCTGTAGAAATTTTCATGCTTATGAGTGATATTTATCAAAGAATTTATTTAATGTCTAATCATAAGGTTTTATATAAACACATTATGCCATACAATGGATAACCATGCCATATTCCAAAATTATGTCATAGAAAAAAACTTAATGACAACAAGAAACATTTATAACCAACTGAAAAAAAAGCAGGTATTCATAGAGTGTATATGACCCTAAATTTCTAACAGATGCATGTACACACTCTTCCATCTGTTAGAAATTTAGGGTCATGTACACTCTATGAATACCACAATAGGGGTTAACAGAACAGAACTGCAAATCAGACTGCCTGAGTTGAAATTCAGGTTTCACAACTTTCTGTGTGAATTTGGTCAAGTCATTTTCCCTTTCTAAATCTCATTCTCTTAGTATGTGAAATGGAAAGACTAATTGTACTTAGCTCATAGAAGTGTCATGAGAGTTAAATAAGATAATACATATAATACTATCTTTGTTCATTCAGGCTGCTATAACAAAATACCACATTTGAGTAGTTTATACACAATAGAAATTTATTTCTCACAGTCTGGGAGACTGAGAAGTCCAAGATCAAGGTGCCTGCAGATTCACCATTGGGTGAGGTTCTGCTTCTCGGTTCACAGATGCCCATTTGCTCACTGTGTTCTCACATAGCAGAAGGGGCAGGAAAGCTGTCTGGATCTCTTTTAGAAGGGCATTAAGCCCATTCACGAGTGCTCTGCCCTCATGACCTAATTGCTTTCCAAAGGTCCACCTCTAAACATCAAAACCTTGGGTATTCGGTTTCAACACATAAATTTTAGTGTGACACAAATTCAGAATATAGCAAATACTTAGAATGACTCAGTAAATGCCATATCTATCCATATCTAAAATATTCAGCATATTTATAGGTAATTTTTTTCTTTGTGCTTTCATATATCTTCTAATGTTCATACAACATATTATTTTAATTATATGAAAGTGATTAAATTTTGCATTTGAGAATTTCATAAGCTACTTTCAATTTCACTGTAAAGTAAAATTTCTATTGGTAATAGCGTTATTATTATTTTGAGACAGGGTCTCACTCTGCCTCCCAGACTGGAGTGCAGTGGCACTATCTTGGCTCACCACAACCTCTGCCTCCCAGGCTCAAGCAATTCTCCTGCCTCACCTCCCGAGTGGCTGGGTTTACAGGCACATGCCACCATGCCTGGTTAATTTTTGTATTTTTAATAGAGATGGGGTTTCACCATGTTGGCCAGGCTGTTCTTGAACTCCTGACATCAAATGATTCACCCACCTCGGCCTCCTGAAGTGCTAGGATTACAGACATGAGCCACCATGCCCAGCCTGGTAATAGCATTTTAAAAAATTCAGTAAATTCTGATGAGTACTGAGCTGGTGCCTAAAGCAAAACCTATGTTTGATCTTAAAGAAGCAATTTCACAGCTTGCTTATACCCTTTTCCCTCAGAGAAAGAAATTTAGAGATTTTTTTATCTGAGGTGAGACAGACTTGGATTTTAGGCTGGTTGAAAATTTTCTCATTGGTAACTAACAGTCACAGGGACCTGGCCTAAGGCAGGAACCTGAAATGTTTACTCAGTTTCAAGAGCAGGTGCCCCGGCAAGAAATACCCAAGAGAAAAATCCATGTGACCCTTACTTATTCAAATAAATCAATAGATGTAAACACTTTTCCTCTATGATTTGAGTCCAGAAATGTTCTCCATATATAGAAGACTCATTTTCTGCTCCTAAATACAGTCATTTAAAAATCAAGCAATCCCCGCTTCCCTATCCTTATGGGATATCTGAAGAGTAAGCCATTGAAACCGAAGTAAAATTCAAGGGGGAGCAAAAATTTTCTCCCGTTCTGTCTGTAGGTTGTCTGCTCGCTCTGTCGATAGTTTCTTTTGCTGTGCAAAAACATTTTCGTTTAATTAGATTCCATTTGTCAATTTGTGCTTTTTTGCAATTGCTTTTGGCATGTTCATCATGAAATCTTTGTCTGTGTCTATGTCCTGAGTGGTATTGCCTAGGTTGTCTTCCAGGGTTATTATAGTTGTGGGTTTTATATTTAATACATCTTGAGTTAATTTTTGTATATGGTGTAAGAAAGGGATCCAGTTTTAATCCTCTGCATATAGCTAGCCAGAAGACAACGTGGTGATTCCTCAAAGACCCAAAGACAAATACCATTTGACCCAGTAATCCCATTACTGGGCATATATGCCCAAAGGAATATAAATCATTATATTATAAAGACGCATGCACACATATGTTCATTGCAGTAATATTGACAATAGGAAAAACATTAAATCAAACTTAATGCCCATCAGTGATAGACTGTATAAAGAAAATGTGGTAAATATACACCATGGAATACTATGCAGCCATATTTTTTTAAAATGAGATCATTTCCTTTTCAGGGACATAGATGGAGCTGAAACACATAGATGTGTTAACTAGTGGGGAGGTGCTTTTATTGCGATGGTTGTTACTTTAGTTGGGTTTTTATGTTTTATTTTTTGTTTTGGTTGGATAGGGAGAAAGACCTTCATAGCATCTGAAATTGTTTTATTTAAATAGCTGCCTACACCTTTCCTTACTCCCCCTACTTACACACACACACACACACACACACACACACACACACACACACACAGAAAACAATTCATGGGAGCTATCTGGTTCCAGAAAACAGTTCTCAAATCCACTTCTCAGTGTAGCCTTTCCTCCCTCTTACCTCTTCCTCTACCACCTCTCTCTCTGTCTCTCTATTCTTTTTTCTTCTTTCTCTTCCTTCCTCCCTTTCTTTTCATTTCTTTTCTTTCCTTCCTTTCGTTTCTTTCTCTTTCCCCTCCTCTCTCCCCTTACCTCCCTCCCTTCCTTCATTCCATGGTCCATTTAGACTACTATAACAAACTGCCACTATCTGTGTGGCTTACAAAAAAACAGAAATTTGTTTCTCCCTGTTCTCAATCCTGGAAAGAACAAGATCAAGGCTTCAACATATTAGCTGTCTAGTGAAAGCCCACCTTCTGGTTCATAGATGGTGCCTTCTAGTTGTGTCCTCACATATGGTAGAAGGGACAAGCTAGCACTCTAGGGACTGGGTTCTAATGGCTGTCATCATGAGGGCTCCCCCTCATAACCTAATCATTTCCCAAAGTCTGCACCTCCCAACACCAACACCTTGGAGGTTAGATTTCTGCATATAAATTGAGAGGTACATAAATAATCAGTTTATTGTTTTCCTTGAGTTTTCTTTGAAAGATTTAATACTCATCCTAATATTTCACACAGAGCAGCAAATCCCTGCATGTAAACAATTTCTTCTGCGTATCATGGCTGCCCCACTCCCCTACTCCCTCTACTCTAGCAAACTGACTTTCTTCCAGCTCTAAAACACTCCAAACTTCCTTCCCAACATGGAATCCAAAAACATAAATTTACTGCAATGGTGCAGGCATGTGACAGATTGCACAGTCAGTACACCTGCATGAGGCTTTGTTTTAGAAGGTAGTTAAATGAGGAGATGAGAAAGCACAGGGCCTCTTTTTTTGCTGGTGTGGGTGGAAGGAAAAGCAGTGTGGCTTGGGCCAGTAGCAGCAATGGTAATATGGTGCTCTGGGTGGTACCAATGATGGCTTCTTGATCTAGCAATAGCAACTGCTCCCTTTCCAGGTCAGTTCTGTGGTGTGGTTTTGGAGATGTTTCCTGGATCCTCAGCATACAGTCTGTTTCTCCAGCCCTTCCAATGATTCAGTTATCTAAGCCTTCCAACTTAAAATAATTAGAATACATGATATGTGGTCTGCAACAAACATTTTTTTGATTCTCATTAAAAGGATTTGTTTGTATTTCTTGCACATTATTCACAAGAGATTGAGAATACTGAGAAGTTTCCAAAGGTTAAGAGAAGCGTAGCAGGAAGAATATGAATAGGCAGGAAGGACCATTAGAAAATTCCAGTTACCCGCTATCATCTTGTCATTTATCCAACACTAAGCTGCTCTCTGCCCAACCAAGGTGCACTGAGCTAGGTTCTGAAGGTAAACATGAATAGAAGTGGTCCTTGTAATTACAGGTCATAAAATAAAAAAGGAAATACTGACACCATAGAAATATTATACATCACATGTATTATCTCATTTTGTCTTCAAACAACCATATGAGTAGATCCTATTATCTCCACATTACAGATAAGGATTAAAGAGGTTGAGAAATTTGCCTGTAACCACGAAGCTATTAAGAGGTCAGGGTAGGATTTAAATCCAAATATGTCTACGGAGCTGGTATGATTTGACTCTGTGTCCACACCCAAATCTAATACCAAATTGTAGTCCCCACATGTCAGGGGAGGGAGCTGGTGGGAGGCGACTGGATCATAAGAGTGGATTTGCTCCATGCCCTTCTAGTGATAATCAGTGAGTTCTCACAAGATCTGGTGGTTTAAAAGTGTGGCACTTCCCCGGCTCACTCACTCTCTCCCTCCTGCCACCTTGCCAAGAAGATGCTCGCTTCTCCTTTGCTTTCCACTATGATTGTAAGTTTCCTGAACCCTTACCAGCCATGTGGAATGAAGAGTCAATTAAATGTCTTTTCTTTATAAATTACCCAAGTCTCAGGTAGTTATTTACAGTAGTGGAAAACAGACTAATACAAGAGGCTAAGTTCCTAAACACTGCATAGCAGCAGAATCTGGAGATGTCATTCACTGATTCAGTGAATAGTTATTGACACTGACTCTGGTCAGGCCTCTGCTAGGGATCCTGATCATTCAACCCATAAATACAAGAAGTCAGGGAGGTAAAGCCATTGTAAGTGACTTCAGGCAGAAGTGAGAACTTTACATGAGGACGGGTACAAGTAAACATTCCACACATTCACAAGGAATTCAGTGGAACCAAATATGTTTGTTGAGTGCCTATAAGCACCAGACACTCTGCTTTGAGTTGCGGACCGATGAAAATCCAGTTCTTGCCAGTGTCTGTTATGTTTACTCACTGCTGTGGCCTCAGCACCAAACCTCAAAAGTATTTGTGTGAGAAAGAAAGCAAGCAAAATGACGAGTTTTATTTTAGCGTAATGAATAAACTTTGTTCAGAGGGCATCAAAAGGGGAAAGTGGGAGGTCAGAAACACTTCAAAGAAAAAGTAACTGAGCCTGGAAAAATTAGTAAGATTTTATAATGAGTTTTTTAGACAATGTACCCCAGTTATCCTACTTGAATTTCATGTCACAATCCTGTATTTTAGGGTTTTCCTAAGGCTCTGAATCTATGAATACAAATTTAGAAATGTAAAGGTGAATGTTGCTAGATTAATCTTTCAAAACTGGAATTTTTTTTTTTTTTTTTGAGACAGATTCTTGCGCTTTGCCCAGGCTGGAGTGCAGTAGCACCGTCTCAGCCCACTGCAACGTCTGCCTCCCAGGTTCAAGCGATTCTCCTGCCTCAGCCTCCTGTGTGGCTAGGACTACAGGCACACACCACTGCACCCAGCTAATTTTGTATGTTTAGTAGAAACAGGGCTTCACCATGTTGGCCAACCTGGTCTTGAACTCTTGACCTCATGATCCACCCACCTCGGCCTCCCAAAGTGCTAAGATTACAGGCGTAAACCACCACGCCCAGCCCAAAACTGGAAATTCTAATGTGTATCTTCCCCATATTGCTCCAGTCTTTACATCAAGTACTTGTTTATATATGATCTCATTCTATGAAGCTTCAGTGTATTTTTGTGCGTACACATATGTGCACACAAATGTATACATATATATAAGTATACAGTGTGCATGCACATATATACACATACATAAAATCACCCAACATTTATGTACAAATCACACATTAATATATGTATATACACGTATGTAAAAATCACCTCAAACTCAGCATTTTGCAAACTATCATATGCTGTTAATGAAATCAATGTTAGTACTAAATATATTCTCATAATAGTCAAATTCTCCTCCTATCTGCTTCTAGTCTTGGTGCCTTGATGCAGACCCTGTCCATTGCTATTCTCATCCTCTCTAGCCAACATGCCCTTTTCAGTTTCCTCCATCTTCAACCAAATCCTAGTAGAAAAGGATTCCAATAAGCTGGCGACTCAGAAACCACAGTGAAAGATGAGCTTTCACACACACATACACAAAAATAGCTTTCATATTTTCTTTGGGAAAAATGTATATTGAACATATTTTTCAAAGCACTTGAACTTTCACAGACATTATATCATAACATTCTAGGGAACAATCTATTGGCAACTCATCCACTCCCATTTCCCAGCTAAAGAAGTCAGGCAGACGAGGATTATGACAATGGCTGAAATGCATCTATAATGTCAAGTAAACAGACATGAAATCCACATTCTCCAAATCTTAGATTTTTACTTTTCTCACTGCGGTTAAACACTGACTCTTAAGGTTGCTAAATGCATAGATGAGAAAAATAACATTTTGTTTGGTAAAATTATGTTCTATTTGAAAGATGCATGCTGTTAAACGTACCCAACTTTTTTTTACTTTTAATAAATGGAGCTATAAGAACTAGTAAGAACTTAGTCCTCAGTATTTTTCCTTATCTATACTTTTTTATTGATGTAAAGGAGTAGTGAATTGATTTTTTTTTTAACTCCAGAAAGCCCATTGACGTGCTTTTTTATGAAACTCATGATTCTTTGAAAATATTTCTTTCAGTCTTACATTTTTTGAACAGCAATAAAATATTACTCAGACATTTGGCCCATTTCATGTTAATGACTCATACTTTTATACTAGAAACTGTCACTTGATATTCCTCTAAGTGGAGTATCTGGGGCTTTGATAAGTTTATGGTTCTGTAGATAAACTTGACCTGGAAAAGACACAAAGATGACACCAAATTGTAGAACACCTTGATAGTGTCAAAAAATTTTGCAACAAATGTGAACATTGTAAGATTGACATGAGGATGTGAGACAGCTTATCCCTATCATCCTTCAGCCGCAATGAGGGCCAGTCTGGGAAAAGTTCCCAACTTGCCTAGTTTATTATTTTGCTAGGATTGCCATAACAAAATTCTACGAACTGAGTGGCTCAAGCAAAAGAAATGCATTATCTCACAGTTCTAGAGGATAGGATAAAAGTCTGAGATCAAGGTGGTAGTAGGGCTGGCTCCTTCGAAGGCAGTGAGAAAGGGATCTTTTCAGGCCTTCCTCTCAGCTTCTTGTGCTTTGCAGTCAATCTCTGGTTTTCCTTGACTTGTTTTGTATCACCCCAATCTCTGTCCTCATTTCCACACAATTTTATACCCGTGTCCAGACTTTCCTTTTCTATAAGGACACCAGTCAAATTGGGTTAGAGGCCCACCCTACTCCAGTATGACCCTATTTTAACTAATTACATCTGCAATAACCCAATTCAAAATATGATCACATTATGTAATATGGGGGTAGGGGAATGGGTTCAGACTTGAACATATATATGTTTGTCATTGCTGTTTTTTAAATATTTAAATTGAATTTTATTAAATACAAATGTCACACACTACCACCATCCCAGAAATGACTGCTTCATCTTTATTAAGAAAGTGGAAACTAATGATGACTTAAGACTTCATTCTGAGGAATATGTTTAGACAAGTTTAGGCAAACAGCAAAGACTGAGAAGTCCCACCACAAAACCTTCAGCATTTTGAAAATGCTTGAAATTTAAACTTCATTCTCCATCTAGCAGTTCAATGTGAGCTGCCAAAATTTAGACCAATTAGTCAATTCCAAATAATGTATGCCCCTTGGGGTCTACAACCTTGGGGCTGTGACAGCTCTGTCTTGACAGTGGACCAGGATACAAGAGCTTCTCCTTCAGATTCCTTCACAATTCAACCCATAACACCTAGGAATAGAATTCCTGGTCCAGACAAAATGTCTACTATATAAAGCTGTCAGGGTAGGGGGAGACGGGGCTAGGGCTAACACCAGGAGAAATGCCTGATGTAGGCAACAGGGCAGAGGGGGTGGTGTGGATGGAGACAGCAAACCACTATGGCATGTATGTACCTATGCAACAATCCTGCAGGATATAGGATGTGCACATGTACCCCAGAGGCCAAATACAATAAAAATAAAAAAACATGGATACCGACTGTACATGGTAATTATATGAAGGAATCTTTGGCCCACTGTCAGGAAGCCAGCTATAGTCACACAAAGGGAAAAAGAAAATCTGGATTCTAAGGCCACAGAGTTCCTATATTAGAAATGCATGGCTGTGGTCAAAGTGCAGGCAGATGAAACAGTATGTAGACAGTCTGGTAGATACCATTATCATTATTAGAAGTGCCCAAATGCGTGACCTCCTGACGTGGTTCAGACTCCTTTTATTTACAAATAGAGAAATGTTACTGTTGCTCAGAGAATGGTAAAAGTCTCCTGATAAGATGTGAAGAAGCCATTTAGGATCCCCTAGAGCCTTGTGCGTATTTGACAATGATAAATGGAGACTGCTGCCAGTCTCTCATCTCAGAATCCAGGAAAAGGATCTCATGAGTAAGGTCAAGAATGTGATATAGAAAAAGACCAAATATTTCTGTTTGAATTTCACAGACTTTAAATGTACAGACCTGTATTGGTTTTCTGTGGCTGCATAACAAATTATCACAGCCACAGAGACTTAAAACAGGACTAATTTACTGTCTCACAGTTCTGCAGGCCAAAAGTCCAGCACAGCATTACTAGATTCACTGCTTAGGATCTCACCACACTGTCTTAATCCATTTTGTGTTGCTATAAAGGAATATTTGAGGCTGAGCGATTTATAAAGAAGAGGCTTATTTGGCCCCTGGTTCTGCAGGCTCTACAGGAAGCATGGGGCCTGCTGGTATCTGCTAAGCTTCTGACAATGGCTTTTGTGCTGCATCAAATAACAGCAGACAAGATCAAAGGGCAAGTAGGCATGTGTGAAGAGGGACCAAACCTGACAGTTGTCCTGAATTTGGAACAACTCACTCTTATAGGAACTGATCCATTCCTCCAGAACCAATCCAGTCTCACGAGAAGGAGAA